CCCCAAAACCCCAAAACCCCAAAACCCCGTGTTGAGATATCTTTAACTGAATCTGAGTTTAGAACATTAATTAAATTTACAGAAAATCCATTTAGAGATATGAACGATTCATAAAGTCTCATCTCTTGGCAAAGCTAATACTTAGAATAGTAGTTTCACCGTTGCTTTCTTTGATATTATATCCTTGTAAGGCATTCATAGCAATAGCAGCAGTGTGATCGTCCTCATATTCTACAAACGCTACTTCTTTTTCGACAATATGTCTAACTTCTTTGAATCCTGAGACCACAGCTTGAGAGAAAATTTCATTTAGTACTGCAGTTGAAGTGCGTTTAGAAAGTCCTTCAATAAACAATAGATTATTCGATTCCTAGCCATCTATTGAGAATGCTCCTGGCTTTGAAAGATTTTTAAAGCTCATCATTTCTTCGTTATCTTATCTGAGCTTTAAAAACTTATCAATAACCTTTCTCTTAGCCTTGAGCATTCTTAATTCTAAATAATTGGTAAAGATTAATCGCAAATATCTTACTAAGTTCAGTTTACCTTCTTAATTCTCTTTTAGCTTTGACCTCATCATCAAATGTACCTCTCATTTTTGCAATAACATCACTAGTACTCTTAGCATAGTTTAATCTCTATATATAAATGTTTAAATCAAGTAAATTATTATTATACCAATGGCTTGCCAAAGAAAATATAGCCTCTGAGAGTTTGAATAGCATTTTATGCACCATCCTCATCTGAATATACAACAAATGCCTGTCCCCTCATTTTAATGTTCTTTTTGCACACCACTTCAATAACATCTCCATATTAACTGAATAATTAATAGAGAGCATTCTTTAAATCAGGGATTTTTACTCTTTCATTAAGATTTTAAACATATAATGTAGGGTTTTAAGTATTAAGTGGCTCCTCCATTATTTTTTGCATCATTGATGGACCTTGTGAATTTTAACCTGGCATTGGTGGTCTAGGTCCTCCCATCATATGCATTGGAGGCGGCATGAAGCCTGGAGGAGGTTGTCTATATTAAGGAGGAGCTTGAATATTTTGCTATTGATTGGAATTAATGACCTAAATTTGATTAAGAATTGAGTTTACCTCCAAAGGTTTATCAGACATTTTATGATTTATTGCTATTTTTATTAATAATATTAATTCAAGAAAATAACAAATATTTTCTAGAGGGGTTTTGGGGTTTTGGGGTTTTGGGG